CGCGCGACGATACTGGTCCAACCGGATCGTAAGAAGGCTGAATGAAGAGAGGACCGCGAAGAAAGGGCGACCACGCGGAGAAAAACGCCCGCGATCGAGAGTCGGGGCCCTTTTATACGCACCGCACCAGTCGAACAATGTCCATTCACCGTACAGAAAACGTACTGCGCCAAATAGCCGCGCAATAAAACCGGAATAAAACGATCGCGGAACACCAGTCCCCGAGGAGCCCGTCACCTCACGTAAACCGACATAATAAACGCGCACGCAGCCAGATTTATCTTGCATAATCGGACTGAATCTCGACGCGACTCGCGATTTTACGAGGTCCACGGTCCCGTCGGGATTCCCCAGACGAAATTTTCAGATGCAAATCAACTCCCACAGTCTTCCTCGCAATAAAAAAAAAAATATTCGTTGGTATTCTCACTTTTCGAGAAGAAACTCGTAATTCGCGAAAATGTCAGTGTGTAACAACACCAACTGCTTCAAATATTCTTCAATAAAAAACCTTATCTCTCCAGGAAAAGAGAAAAAGCGAAGCACTGGTGTCGAAACAGATCACACGTCGAGATTTTATCGCTATAATAATTCGCGCACTGCTAATCCGGCTGCCTATGACTCGTGCAAAAACACTGTTCAACGCGATCCTTTGTTTTTCGATCGACAAAAAAGGAGGGTCTTGAAAATCTCCATCCCACAGTCCTGAAGACTCGCCAAAGTTTCCGCCATTGATCTCGCGGTTTCCCCTTAACGTTCGGCAAACGACGTTTTCCATGGCAACGCGGTAATCCCCCGACCCCCTTTGGGCGTATCTTCCGCACGACGCACTTAACGAAATCTTGTATTCAGCGCGCTTTTTATCGGCGGTGTGCTTAATGGATTAAGTGGTGCCGGGGGCAGCGTGTCGGAGGATATCGGCCAATTTAAATTCCGCATGAACACACCGCATCACCTTAAGTGGGTTACCCACGCGACGATCGATACACGTCGACGTGCACGTACGCACGGCTCGACGATCGATCGAGTTTCGTGTATCTCTGTCGCCGAGCGGTAACGAGTTCGTATGGCTATGACTGGCGTCTCGGCCGCGTACGTGGCAGTCGCCGGACCGGATCTCCACGGCCGCGGCCCCGCCATGAAATAATGGCGTGAAAAATGGTAGCGACGGGGTCGGATAAGCGTGTAAGAGGCTTTCCTCGAACACTCGCGTCGGATTTGTACGCCGGGCGTTTTTTCTCATAGATCACCGACTCGCGCGCGGCGTTTCCGGCGCGGATTACTCCCGACTAAACTGAGAACTGTTCTCGGCTTTGCGCTCACGGTTACGTTTGTGCGCATCAAGTATCATGGACCCGACACATTCCATTGTTAACGGTCGATTGATTCTTCGCTCCGTTCGGCCGATTTCTTATTGTCGTGACGTCCAGGAGCCATTATGTCAGAATTGTCCGTCAAATTTTGATTTATATATTATATGTATATATATATATATATAATATATAAATTATATATTATGTTTATATATATATGTATATAATATATTATATATAATATATTATATATATTATATATATATATTATATATTATATATTATATATTATATTATATATATAGTAAAAGAATACTTGCACAAACTTTATGATTTCTTTTGCAAATCTTGATAATAAATATTGTCGGTTAATAATCGTACAATAAAACAATAAAGCATAAAGATTAACCTAAGTTGTATTAACGCGAGATTTGACTTTTAATGGACGAGCCAACGCGTTTTGGTTAAGGGACACGGAATTTCTATGGTTCTTACGAAAGATTCTTCGCGGGACTGAATTTGCCTCGAGGGAGCAAATTCCGCTTTCTGAAGGAAATCCCGTTTCCTTCAATCAAAAAACGTGTTGGCTCGTTCATTAAATGTTAATACAACCAAATTGCTTTCTCTCTGTGGACACGTGGAGGCAGAAAAATTCTACAATGCATTGCCGTATGCGGTATTTTGAAACTCTACCCGATAGATCAACGATCTAAATTCCTCCAGTTCCCTCGTCCCGTTAGATCTCCGCGAGCGCGGTAGTCCGTTCGGTAGTGAAAGGTCCGATCGATTATCGGCAATCGTAGATCGCGCAAAGTTCGCGAGTGGCAAAAAGGTGGAGGAGGGAATCGGGGTCCGCGCTATGATTAGACTTTAACGAGCGGAGAGAAATCAGGGAAAGAGATATCAAGAAAGGCGCGCTTGATGAATGGCTTCGATCGGACCTTATAAGAAGCGGTTAATCTCGGAGGGAAGAACGGATCCTTCGGGCTTTGCAAGATTTATCGTTTCATCTCGCGAGCGCCACGAAGCCCGCGCTCTCGTCTTTATCTATTTTCTCCTCCCTCTCTCTCCCCCATTCCCCGATAGCTTCCCACCTTCTTTTCCTTTCGCGCGATGAAAAGGGGCAGCAGCAGCGGCGACGCGCGGCTCCACCGATACTTCGTCCTATTCCGCGAGCGCAAAATGCAAATCCCACGAGCGCAAATTGATTTGATCCGCGTGTATCGCCAAAGTGGCGCGAGAGAGATAGCGGGAAAGGGGTTGGTGTATGCCTTAAATTTCCCGACGAGCGGATTAAGAGCGGCTATCAATTTCTAAAGCGGATGACGCGCGTGTTCTGTATTTTTTTTGCCCAAGTATATGTCGGCTCGTTCTTTCTTCCTTCCTCCATCCCGCCCCCCTCTCTCTCTCTCTTTCTCTCGAGCGAGCGACGTCATGACGAGACATGGTCCTCTTTTTTTTATTTCTCGTCTCTCTCGACAGAAGAAAAAGGATTAATGGCCTCATAGCATGACACCGCGGCGTGATAAGATCGCGGGCTTCCTTCAGCCGTCGGCTGCCGAGCGCCGGCGATCATATCGGCGACATCCGAATCGCATCGTGTATCTGCTAAAGGAGCACGTGAGACGTGCTTTTATCGATTCGTGATTGTGCACGGGCGAGTTTCTCCGCTTGATGTGCGCCTTGAAAAGACACCTCGCTCATATCGTATCTCTCGTCCCCTTTTACGAGTGTATTCGTCTTTCGCCTCGTGTGAGATTCGCGATGGGATCTTCCTGCGTAATCTCGTGTAATTGAAAAGATCTCTGCACGGCGCGCACTTCAAAGGGTTATTATTGAACGGAAATGCTACTAAAAAATGTTTTCCAACGCTACACCAAAGGGCGTTCGATGTTCCACAACGCGATCGCAGTTATGTTTCGAAGTCGCAAACACTAGTCTGTGAATCGATCACGTATCTGTTTTCTCCGCGTAAATCTGTAGAACATATGCATGATCGACTTGCGGATTAATACCGCGGCTTCAAAGCGTAATTGCCACCGCATTGTAGACGACCCCTACCTAATATCTATTATTTGCATAATGCAAATAGTATTTTCTTACCAGAAGCACTGATTACTCGATAAGAGAGTTCGCGACGTTGCACCAAACAATCGCTCAATAAACTTACGATAAGGGGCAAGGTACCGTGAAAAACGTTCCGCGCGCAACACGTCGCAGCTCCTGCGGCAATTTCGGCCGCAATTTCGCGAGTATACGTGCGCAGCCGGGTGTGCAAGAAGTGTCGTAGATTGAATATCCGAGAAGAGACAGTAAACCGCGCACGATCGCGGCAGGTCGTGCGTCTACCGCGGGGGAAAATCGGGATTTCACGGATGCGAGCTGCAGCTCAAGCTCGGAGGCTCAAGGTACAGAGAGAAAGAGAGAGAGAGAGAGAGAGAGACACAAGGGATCCTACCCATAAAAACTATCATATACTCGTGCAGGATAAGACAGACATATATATGAGGGAATAGTGCGAAACTCGCGGCGCGGAAGACACCGTAGGGAGGCATTAAAAAGAATAGACGCTATCGGGCATTTCCTTCGCGCCTCCTTGCCTTCACCGTCGAACGAGCCGCTCGCAAAAGCAAGGCGATCCCTATTTCACTTTAAACCCCGCAGTTACCAGGACGTATGCACGCTCGACTTCGCCGGGAACCGCCGCCTCCGCCTCACGGATGCATAAATTCGATAAGACCACCCGTTAGTGACGGTGGTAGCGCGTTCTCTCACGTGAAGACCGCGAAAAGAGAAGAATAAGAGAGATATAGAAGAGGAAGCAGACTCGCGAAAACCATTGTTACCCCCTTTTCACCCTTTTTCCCCCGGTTTCCCACCCCCTTTTCCGTCGCTGTTAGTTTTTTCCGTTCTCTGGCGCGTTTAATTTCATCGCGAGAGCAAGAGAGAGAGAGAGAGAAGGAGAGATCTACCGAGAAGCTTCAAAGGCGGCCGGGACGAATTTCACGCCTGCGGCGTTTTCGCGTATTGCCGACACTGTGCGGCGAGAAGCGCGCCGTTCGTTATTGCCATTGTTGCAAATTGCTACTGACGGCTATTACGGCTCTAGGATAAATCCCGAGAGAAATCTCTCTCTCTCTTTTTCTTTCTCTCTCCTGCGTCTCAGTTGACCGAGCGCGAAGGGCGCGCGTAATAAGTTGACTTTCGGAGAAGCGTGTAATTATGACTCTCAGGTTCTAAGTTTAGATCGTAGCAGGTGGTCCGTCGGACCATATAGTTCATTAATAGTGAAATATTAATGGCACATAAGGAGCTAGCACGGATGTCTTAGTTATCCTCCCACAATTATATTAATATTAAAATTATATTAGTATTTAATAGCACTAAGACATCCGTGCTAGCTCCTTATGTGCCATTAATATTTCACTATTAGTTAATTCTATAAAGGAGCGTTCTATTATTTCGGTTCATATAGTTCATAATATAGCACAGTTATACCAATATTCAACCCCGGTATACGATGTACAATGGAGAAAACGCTTCGCACGATATTGTTCAAGGAAGAATTTCTCTTTTTTGTAACGGGCTTTTTTGCGGCGGGCTCGCGCAATGGTAGAAACAATGGGACTGATTGAGCGATATACACGGGAAACAAAAAATGAGGTCGAGAGAGATTCGTAAACTCACCAGTTGTCGTTGCGGGTCCGGACCTTGCCTGACGATCTCCAAGGGTGAAGGTATCGACGGCTTGCCAAGGTACCAGTCCTCGCGCGGGTTATAGTTGTCCAGGAGTTTCAGCAGGCGCGGCACGTTCACGTAATTGTCGTCGTCGAAGTGGCAGAACCATCTGAAACACGCGAAGCGACACGCGGTGTAATGACAAATCGCAGCACCGACTTCTTCGAAGGACCTAACCACCGACCCGTGTATCGCGCGCGCATTACCAATACCAATGAAGGGTTCATAATTTGTATCGTGACTGTTCAATCGATCTCCAACGAGAAAGAGAGAGAGAGAGAGAGAGAGAGAGAGAGAGAGAGAGAGCGCTTTAGCCGAGCACTCTTTATGCGAAAGACTTACAGCTCGCTTCTCCTGTTTCTCGCGAGATACTTAGATTTTTATTCAGAGTTAGATTCGAGTTATCCAATTAAATTGTAATTCGCGTGGTTAAATCGCGCGTTTCAACTGAAACACCCTCATCTAACTCTGAATTCAATATTGAGTATCTCACTTGAGAGGAGTTTCAAGCAACTGTTAATACGGGTCTAAGAGACGCCGACTCGATGTGTCAGGCACCGGCAACATATACCGAGAAACGAGGAGATCACTTCGTTGTAATGTACTCACAATACGTCCCGACGATCGCACGTCGCTGCTCTCGACACTCCCGACGCTTATTCCGCACAACACGCACTTTCGACGGGCGAAGGACGCGCAAACTACGGAGCGATGTCGATATGTGCGTTAATGGCGGCTGCCGACGCGAAAAAGATCCAAGATGACTGGTGCCATTGATGAAATACGCCATCTGCACGTTTAGTACCGCGAATCTTATTACTCGATAGATCGATTCTCGACAACTCGATCTATCGATCATATCGAAAAATTCTCGACCAACCATATTCGTTTTCAACTAGACTTTTCGCATCGCTGTTATTGGTCCAGAAATACGTATGCGATTTCTGAATTAATCAAGAATCATGAGAAATACATAGGCGGAAACGAAAATGTAGCTCTGATAGCTCTCCACCCTCTGACCTCTTTTGCGCGAAAATTTCTAATGACTGCCGACGTATCGAATGGTAAAGTTACACCACGGAACACTGAGTGTCGTTCGTTCCTCGTTCGCCGAGCTGCAAATTAACGATTCAACAGATGCGCATCGCGCCCTTCACTTATTCAACCATAACACCTGCGGAACTTCCGTTCATCGGCATTTCTCGATAACGAGGACGCGGTGCACAGCTTAGCGGCGCGCGAATAAGACCACGGAAACTCGACGCATGCCGTTTCGCCGCCTCTCTCTCTCTCTCTCTCTCTCTCTCTCTCTCTCTCTCTCTCTCTCTCTCTCTCTCTCTCTCTCTC